TGTTCCAGTAAGTCTTTTAACTCTTCTCTTAAGTATGATCTCCGAATGGACCTCTGCATCCTGTCTCTGCCTGTTCTAACCAATACAAACTCCTCTGTCAACTCCTTTATTTTTCTCTCCTGATCTTTCATTTAGTTCCTGCGGCTATGAAGATTCCCTTCACATACGCCTTATGTGCTTCCCAAATGGTGGCCACCGAGACTTCCTCAGTTTCATTCAACAGAAAAAATTGCTCTATTTCCACCCTCAACCTCCTCTTTACGTCGGGGTCTTGTAAAAGCATCTCATTCAGTCTCCACGTTGTCCTTTTATCCCCTGCTTGTCCTACCTTTAATCTCACCATGACAAGAGCATGATCTGAGATAGACATGACTTTAATGTTAGCTTTAACAAATGAATCCAATTGTCCATGCTTGATCATAATATTGTCAATCGTGATTACAATCTATGCACCATGGAGAAGAAGGTATAGTCTCTTTCTCTGGGGTGTTTCACCCTCCATACCTCCTTTAGCGGACTATGAAGTAACCTCTTTTTCAACTCTTACTTTATCTCCTCCTCTCTGCGCAAATCGAAGATGTATTCATCCATGGATCAAGACAATTATTAAAATCTCCTGCCAGGACCAGAGTCCCCCTCTTAAATGCCGTAACTTTCGCCAACACTCCATACAGAAATACTTCTGGATTTTGATTCGGGCAATAAACATTAACCAATGTATAACTTTGTCCTCGCATTTTCCCTCTTAAACATAGAAACCATCCCTCTGGGTCCACCAATCTCTCCTCCACATCAAAACCCACATTTTTTGAGAACCCGATCGCTACTCCTTTAGCCCTCCTTATTGGTGAATCCGCATAATACCAAGTTGGGTAGTAAATGGAGTATAATTTAACATTAGTATCATATGATACATGTGCCTCTTGTAAGAACACTACATCTGCGGAGAGCTTCCGAGTATCTTATGTCTTTTAGTGGGAGAATTGAAACCTTTTACATTGTATGTCATTACGTTAATCGGGCTCATAGCTGTCTAATATTTCTGCTCTCTCTCTTATTCAAAGGGAAAACGGTATAGACTACCTGTCTCATGGACCTTCCTCCCATCCCAACTCTTCCACATCCCCTCCCTCCCACCCCCTCCCTTACCTAAAATTACTAAAAAAAAAAAAAAACCCTTGAACTATAAAATTGCCCTGGAATCTGCCATGGGAATCCCCCACTAGCGATTCTTAAATTGGAGTAAAACTCTGAACATGGACACCCACTCCTGCCCCCCCCCCCCCCCCGCTCTTGACATGGGGCTTTAGTATTTGGAATTTTATTTGGCCTCCCAACACCTCACCAACTTCTCTTCCTCTAAAACCTGCTGAAAAACACATGAGAGGAGGGGAGGGGGAGTGAGGGAGAAGAAGAAGAAAATAAAAAAAGGAAGGGGACAACAATACATCCCCAGGAACCCCCTAGCTCTCTCTCGCTAACCCCCCATCCTTCCCTTCCTACTCAATCTATTTTCTTTTTTTATTCACTGGCTGCTCTTTTTTTGACCTTAGCCTTTAATTTTCATTTGACCCCTCCATCCACCCCGCAATTTCCACTCTCTGCAGTTCTAATTTTTCACAGAAGTCACTCTGGGAAGCTTAACCTTGTCGAATTCCCATCTTTCCACCTGATCAGAAGCACCAGGAATCCCCAGTTATATTGAATTATTCTTTCCTTCATCTGGTCCAATAAGGGTATCAACAACCTTCTTCTAGCTAATGTCTCAGAAGAAATATCTACAAAGATTTGTAGAATTGTTTCTCCATATTTTAACTCTGGGGTCTCCCGCAGATTTTTCCATATGGTTTCTCTGTCCTCAAAGTCATGGAATCGGACAATCACATCTCTAGGGGTATCTGATGTTATTCCTGGTGGGCATCTTAATCTATGAATTCTCTCGATCCTCAAAAGGATCTGTGACTAATCTACCTGTCAATGGATTGAACACTTTCTTTACTTTTTCCCGGAGGTCCTCTTCTTGTGCATGCTCAGGGAGGCCCCTGATCCTCAGATTATTTCTTCTCTCTCCATTTTCTTGGTCTTCCAATTTGTATGACAGCTTTCTCTGTTCCCTTCGCATCTCCTCCAACTGTGTTTCCAGATTACATATCTGCTGAGCCTGTGTCTCCATTCTATCCTCCTCTTCTTCCACCCTTGATAATATTCGTCCAAGATCCTTATGGATAACCGCCATTTCCTTTTTCATAAAAAGTTCAGTTTTTGCAAACATTTCCTCCATCTGTTTGTGGATTAGTGATATGGCTCCCTGTTGTCCAGAGGGGTTTTGATAGTTTACACTGTCAATATTCATAAATTCATTAGTCTGATTCTCTTCACGTGCTCCAAATGACAATCTAGACTGATCCCCATCATGATTTTTTTTCCTCCTTCCTGTTTCTCCGGACTTTGTGTCTCTGGGATTTTTGCCAGTGCTGGCAAGTATTTCTTTATTGTGCTAGTATTTGAGCAGAATTGTGGGGTTTTTCCTCCCCCACCTTTAGTGGGTCTATTGCTCATTTTAACTACACTTAATTGCAGATAGTCTACTCAGAGTTCAAAGTGCAATATTCTCACACCTCCAGGGGAGCCAGTCTCCAGTAGCTTTTACAGTCCCGAATGACATTAATAGTGCATACGTTATGAACCTCAATGTTTGGCTCCTGCTCTTCAAACCGTCCAGCCCCACATCTCAGATATACATTTACTTGGCAACAGAGAGCATTAAAAGCTTTAAAATTTCTTGCCGTTGCCCACGGGCAACTCCCCATCCCTTCTGTCTCTGTGCTGTGCTCTCTTCTGCCTCCATTGGGGTCTTATATCTCAACTTATAGTATCACTTGAGAGGAGATGATCTTGACAGGAGCTCAGGGTAACCTGTATCCAGATACTTCCTGCATCTGCCATATCTCCCGACCTCCGGATCCCCGCAGTGTACAGTCTATTTAACCTGCCAGTGCACCCCTGCACTGGCAGTCTCCACTGAGGTCCCTCTTCACTCGGACCCCTCCTCCTCTCCCAGGGCCTCCTGATCTCCGGGATGTTCCCCCGTCAGCCGGCGCCAATCGCTCCAAGGGCTCCGGGATCCAAGCCTCCCGGTCCCTCCAGTGGGGCTCAACGCCGCCTCATGACCAGCGCGGGGGGGCATCGCACCACACCAACCAGGAGCCAGCAGCCAGGTAGGTAAGCTTGCAGGGTGGATAGAAGGGATCAGGCCCCAGACAGCTAGTTCATAGTGGGCGGACGTCGGGAGCTCCTGCACCTAGGAGTCTCCCAGCACCATGATCAGGCCACTCCCCTCAGTCCAACAGTTTATTCTTCCAACAGTGGTAGGTAAATTCTTGATATTACTTATAAGTAATTAAACAGGGGCTGTATGGTGCTCCCCCCAAAAAAAAAAAATTAAATTCTAGTCCTCTCCTGGCACCAACTACACATCAATATAACCCTGTCCACCAAAATGAGGAAGCCTAATCACAAAACACAGTTCAAGTTTCACTAACTTTAACTCTGAACTCCAACTGTTACCCAGGCTGCAGTGTAATGAGTGTGTATCTTACCTGCTTAGATTTTCCCTGTCACAGAGAGATGCAAACTTTGGGTGGATCAGAGGGAACCTGGGCGATATGTTATAAAGGCTCTGGCTGGCAGGATTTTTGTGGATGGTGTGCATGTGTTGCTTAGATTTCTCACATACATATGGTGAGGGGCTCCCAGGCTTAAAAGGACAGGTAAACCCATAATTAAAGGTGTAACTTGTAACCTGCTCCTAAACACCTGCTTTGCACCACCATAACCCACCTCCCTGAGACAGTGGGCTGAGGATCCATCAACCCCCTCCAGCCACTGTCACAATCTGCAGCCGCACAGCCGTGTCATTCATGCACAGTGATTTGTGAATAAATTAACTACAAGTCCCATCTGCCATTACAGCAGTTTGTAGTTCTCAATGCACTACAAGAGTACTGATCAGCACTCTCTTAGTCCATTGACACTTTCTACATCTCTGCAACTGACCTGTACAGAGGTAAGGGCACAGAGATGTAGGCAGTGCCTGCAGGAGCCTGAGATTGTACCCACAAACCACTGATACTGGGTGCAATGCACTGCAGGCAAAATTAAGTGCATTTCTTTTCAAAAACATTTTTAATTTGTAACCATAGCTAGTGATAGTTAGACACATTAAACTGAACTTGTCCTTAAATATTGAAGTTGTTTCACAGATCATCCAAGTGGCCTAGTCAATTCAAACGAGTGTCAGGAATATACCCCAGCACTTCTAGCCAAAACCGACTAACTTTCATCCCATCACAATGGAATGTACTAGGACAGATTGCTGGTTGCCTAAGAACATAGTAGGATGTGTGAAATTTTGTCAAACCACTATTCTTATTTACATAATCTAATCACCATGGAGTTGTGAAGTCTGGAACAGATGACGATTCTGAAATCAGCTTGCATTTGAAATCAGTTTGAGACACATTTGAGATCATTCAGAGTTCATTGACGGGTGTATTTGGCCTGTAGATGACCTAAGCTGCTTTTGCATTTCCAATAAAGCCAGACCTAGATGATGTGATTTTCTTTCCTGCAATCACAGTCACTGTTGATGGAAAAATTCCTTCCGTGGAGCTGTCCCTTCTGGGAGAACACAGTGATTATTCCTAGCAGCCATAGCTGCAGCCAAAAATCACATGAAAAATCCGTACAACAACTGATTTGGGTACAACCAGCCTGCCCATAGATGGTTCAAATCTTGGCTTGCTAAACCGGCCGAGATTCGAACTATTAATGGCCGGCTTTACTTGTATGCGGAGAGAAGGAATTCTTACATGAACTAAAGCCTGTTGACAAAAGCCCTATGATAGCTAGTGTCATTCTTCTGAATTCCTCTATAGAGCAATCCATACATCTAAACGAGGTCTAGGAGTACATAAAATACAACATATTAAAATCCTCACCTTCTGTTGCATAGAAAGCAGCTCCCGACTTGCCACCTCTAGCTTGCCATGGCACACAATGTGCAAGGGAGCGGATGAAATCTTCCTCGCTGCTTCCCAAGATTACTTTGCGCATTCTGTGAAACTCTCCAGCATAATAAATACGGCAATAGAACTTTGCATTAGCATCTGAGAATTCTGAAAATAAACCCAAAAATAAAAAAGTTACTAATCACAGCAATGCTTTCTTACCCTTCTCGGAAAACTGCAAACCAGAAAAGGTATCCATAAAGCCAAACAAACCCATTAAAGGAGAAGTTCACCTTTCGAACATGTTACACCCTAAATACTGGTGTAACACGTTCAGTACCCCTCCACCCCCCCCCCCCCCCCCCCAGCCTTCCCTGTGACAGCAGGCGAGGGTTCCACTCTCCCACATCTGCAGCCACATTTTGATGAGGGATCTGTGAATGAATAAACTACTGTTTACTAAAGATAAATGGACTTGTAGTTTCACTGACCGTTGCGGATTAGCATGCTTGTAGTCCATTAAACACTTTCTTCAGCTTTCAAAGTGAAAGCGCATACAGAGGTAAGAGCAGAAAGATAGAGGGAAAAAGTGCAAGAGTCAGGCATTGCACCCACAATCTACTGATCAAAAGCTACAATGCTTTGCAGATAGAGCAATCTCTGGGATTGAAGTGCCTGTGTGACTTTTCATGCTTTCATCAAGAAAGGAAGCAGTTTAACTTTAAACAGCATAAGGGGTTCATCCACTCCCTTTCACAATCAGTGGTTTCAGCGGGAAGTGTCAGTAATTTAAAAAAAAATGTTTAGATGGGCATCTTATTGATCACAAGGATGTGGGAAGTGTTATATACAAAGATACACACACATCCACACAGGTTGAACTGGATGGACTCGTGTCTTTATGCAACCTTGCCAAACTATGAAACTAGGCATAACACTGATACCCCTTGTTCCTTTAACCACCTCCCGCCCACCATATAAAAGGTAATGATGGGCGGGCAGCAGCAGTTCTCTCGTTCTTGGAGGACGTCATATGACGTCCTCCCACTAAGTGCACATGAGTGCCCTCGGGGGCGTGTAGCGATCGGTGGGTGCACTGTGTCCCTGGGACACAGTGGATCACCAATCACTGTAAAGAGCCAATGACGTCAGCTCTGTCATGTGATCAGATGTATCCAATCACGGTTGATCACATGTAAATAGGAAGAGTCAGTTATCGGCAGTCTTCTTCTCCCGCTGACAGCTCGTGAGGAGGAGAGGCGGTAATAGGCATTCCTCACAGGGGACATCTACACAGTCAGTGCCACCTATCAGTGCCACCCCTCATCAGTGCCCATCACTGCAGCCTCATTAGCACACATCAGTGAAGAAGAAAAATTACTTATTTACAAAATCTAACAACAATCTAAGAAAAAACCCAGTGGTGATTAAATACCACCAAAAGAAATCTCTATCTGTCTTTAAAAAAAATTATAAAGATTTTGTTTGAGTGTGCAATTGTCATTCAAAGTATAAAAGCACTGAAAGCTGAAAATTGGCCTGGGCAGGAAGAGTGTAAATGTGCCCGGTATGCAGGTGGTTAAGACCTTGGTCTCAACAGCCATGTCATTAAAACCAGAGAGATTGTGAGGTAGGATGGAATAGTTGGCCTTGAGATAGAAGATCTTGCCTGTTATGAAGAGGCCAGGGATCGCCAGCTAGAAGGCCAAGTGTTTTTGTAACAGGTTCTTCTGGAACAGTTTGGTGCAATCAGAATCACGGTCTTCCTCGCTTGCTCTTTTTGAGCAGAGGAGTCAGAAGTCTAGCTGGAGAGATCGCGTAGATTAGCCTGAACCAAGACCAGGGAATTATCACAGCATTTGAAGCTAGGGCTAGAGGATCCTTGGTCCTGGCTACAAATATAAGAAATTTGTAAAAACAAAAGTTGACAAAAATCAAATTAAACTCTGCTCTCAGTGCAAAAAAACAAATGTGTAATCAAAAACTTCAAAAGATTGAGAGCACTCAAAAATATCTACAATACAAGATAATCAAAATAAATAAAAAAAAAAAAAAAAAATATGTTGTGCCACCCCTTTAAATGCTATGTGCAATAAAACCGAAGATATTATACACATATACACACACACACACACACACACACACAGCATTGGCTGACTACACCCAATTTGGGTGTCGCTGTAGAAGGGGGGTCTATGTACCCTGGATTGTGAAAGGGCTAGAACACTCCTCCCCAACCTGAAAGACTGGCATCTGTTATCACTTTCCAGTGATAGGGAAGGAAAGACCTATCTATTGTTAGGGCTGGAATTGAAATCCATAGACATAGGGAGTCCCTTGCTTGGCTGGACAGGAGCATCTGTAGGTCGAAAGAAGAAGGATGCCTGATCCAGATCAACAGGATGCTGTGTTGGAGAATTCTTAAATTAAATTGGGTAAATGGCACAGCCTCAAAAAGGAGGGTACCACGAGGCCTAGAATACTCAGAATCTCATTTCAGAATGTTGCTTTGACCTCAATTCAATTCAGAGAAAGAACTTTCTTTTTTGGAAAGAAAACCTTTGCCTGGGATGTGTCCAGGACCAGACCTAAATATTCCAGCTGAAGAGAAGGCTGCAAAGCATATTTTTTTAAAATTGATCAACCAACTAAAAGCCTGGAGCATTTGAATTTTTTTGTGGATGCTTGTTGACAGCTGGATGAGTAATGAGTCCATCAGGAGAAGGTTGTTTAAACAGACTGTGACCTGGATGCGCAAGTTCTGAGAAAGTGAGAAAGGCAAAAAAAAAAAAAAAAACCCCGCGAGCAGAGGATAGGCCAAATGGCAATGTGACAAACTGGAATTGATTGCCTGCCACTGTAAAACACAGAAAGCACTGATGAGGTGGATAAATGGGAACACGAACATAGGCATCTAAGATGTTTACCGAGGCCATGTATTCCCCTTGTTTCATAGAGGTAGTTACCAACCTTACAGATTCCATGCAAAATTCTGTAATCTGAAGGTATTTGTTGAAGGGGTTTTAAGTCCATGGCCAGGAGCATGGATGTAAATTGGGGAAGCAAATTCTGGGAAGCTTGCATTGAAAACCTTGTTGGAATACCTTGTTGGAATAGATCTCGTTCTGGAGCCTGGCCCCCTGTGTGCTGTCACTCCTTGGAGCAGGAACAAGATGCATTTAAAGGTGGCTACCTCTTCTTTGGCTGCCTCCTCATGAAGAAGAGGTCACACAGAGAGCTGGGCTCCAGGACAAATTTGATTCCAAAAGAGGTTTCTGCATTGCCAAGCACAGCCTTGTCATGTGCAGGTTTCCAGGAAACTGCTTCCCTAGTTTACATCCATTCCCCTGGCCAGGGCTTGTGGACAGTGTATGGTATTTCTATCCTCCACCTGGCTATCCCCATGTGTACCATGACACATACCCTACGAGTAGTTAGAATTGGTCTTTAACCAGTTCCCAACGTGCTATAGCCCAAGGACGGCTACAGCGCCAGCTGTCTGGTTCTGGGATGACGTCCATGGATGTCATTCAAGAACACGCCCCCTGTGCGCCCCCAGCAGCATGCACCTGGCGTCGCCGGTGGTCGCTGTGTCCTATGACACAGCAGATCACTGGTAAATGCAGTTGCCGGCTATTGGCTGCCCTTTCCACACGCTGTCACAGCGTGAGGAAAGTACTGCCGAGAACCGGCAATTGTCAACGAAGGGATCGGCACTGATCATCAGTGCCCAGCAGTGCCAGCTCACCAGTGCCGCCTATCTGAGCCACCTCCTTAGTACCCATCAGTGCTGCCCCATCAGTGCTGACCCATCAACGCACATCAGTGAAGGAGAAAAATTACTTGTTTGCAAAATTTTATTATATTCAATCTATTCAAATTTTTTGCTCTTTTTTTGTTTATAGCGCAAAAAATAAAAACACCCAGTGGCAATTAAACAAGAAAAGAAAGCTCTATTTGTGTGAAAAAATAACAATTTCATAGGGGTACAGTGTTGCATGATCGAGCATTTGTCATTCAATGTGCAACAGCGCTGAAAGCTGAAAATTGGCCTGGGCAGGAAAGGGGTATAAGTGCCCAGTAGGCAAGTGGTTAAACCACTTTACCTGCGGAAGGTTTGACCCCCTTCATGACCAGGGCATTTTTTGCTATAAAGCACTGCACTACTTTAACTGGCAATTGCTTGGTCATGCAACATGGTACCCAAATGAAATAATAAAGAAAAAAAAACAACAAAAAAACACACATTTTTCTTAGTGTGTTATAAATTTTGAAGGCAAACCTTCATTCATAAAATTTAGTGCTTTGTAGTATGCTACATTTCTTTGAAAATATAACCCGAAATCAGTGTAATCTGTGTGAACGTATAGAGTCTACAAACTATGATATATATATATATATATATATATATATATATATATATATATATATATATAGATATATATATATATATATATATATATATATATGTATATATATATTTATTTGAAAATTGATCAATCCTGATGTGCTGACGGTCTAGCTCATTTCTTGAGACCCTAAAATGGCAGGACAGTACAAATACCACCCAAATTATCCCTTTTTGTAAAGTAGACAGTCCAAGGTATTAAGTAAGGCATGGCAAGCTTTTTGAAGATGTAATTATATCACAATTTTTTTGAAATTATAAGACTTATTTTGTGCACATACTCTCACCATTGCAGTACAGCATCATCATATGACTGGTCATATGATCAGGAATACTCACTGAAAACCGTATGTGTAAAAAAATAAATTAACAAAAACAACTTTTTTTTTTTTACTCACTGTCATCAGAATAGTTTAGTGTCTCCATAGTGAGACACTGCAAGACTCTGGGAGCTGATCAGGGATTTTTTTTATTGTACACCATTATTGCTTATAACATGGCTGATCACGGTTATAAGCAATGTTTATGAATGGTTTTGTGTTTACTATTGGGATGCTGTAATTGGTCACAAGGGATCACATGGTACAGAGTGCTGTAATTGGTGGAGGTACCAAGTGATCACTTGTAACCAAATCACAGCATCACAATACCAAGCAAAATGTCATGAAAAGGAAAGGTGGCGGTGTCTGTCTCTATGTGAGAGAGTGTGAAAGGACCTAGTTGGAGAGTGTGATGAGGCTGAAGCATTATGGATGGAACTGCACATGGAGTTATTGGAGTTTGTTATAGCCCTCCCAGTGTTAATGAGGAGGTGGAGACTCAGCTCCTTGCACAGATGGAAAGGGCTGCAAGGGCTGGGACAGTGATAATAATGGGGGATTTTAACTACCTGGAAATTGACTGGATTAATGGCACTGCAGGAACAGTTAAAGGGCAAAAATGTATAAACCTATTACAGGACAATTTTATGGTACAGTTCATAGAGTCCCCAAGTAGGAATGATGCTCTACTGGTCCTGGTAATCTCAAACCATGCAGAGCTTATTACTAATGTCCATATAAAAGAACATCTGGGTAGCAGTGACCATAACATGATTTAATTTATTGTTATCTGTGAACAGCAAGCACATACAAGAAAAATAAAAACGCTAAATTTTAAGAGAGCAAATTTTCCAAGGCCGAGAGCTGCTCTCCAAGACCTAGACTGGGAGGGAATATTGGCATCGATGAACACAACACAGAAACGGGAGTTCTTCAAAAAGACTGTATGTGAACACACTGCAAATATATTCCCATGGGCAACAAGTTTAAAAGGCTTAAAACCAAACCTATGTGGCTTACGGCCAAAGTTAAAGCTATAAATAATAAGAAAACAGCTTTTATGAAATATAAAAATGAAAGAATGCTATCACCATTTAAACATTACAAAGAATATAACAGAATATGCAAAAAGAAAATAAAAGCCGCAAAAATTGAATACAAACAACAGACTGCAAAAAGATAGCAGGACAAACTCAAAAAAATTCTTCAAATATATTAATAAAAAAAAAAGGTCCGGTCCAAGTATGTAGGACTTTTACAACATAATCCAGAGTGGGTGACTGGGGACAAAGAAGGCAAATTTATTAAATACCTTCTTCAGCTCTGTATATACAAAGGAGCATGGGGAAGCTCTTGTCCATAAGGGGCATGGTATTGACAGCTCCAGATGATCCACATTGGCTCACAATTGATATGATCCAAAAATATCTAGACAGAATAAAGGTGAATAAAGCACCTGCACCAGATGGCATACACCCACGGGTCCTTAAAGAATTGAATTCCATCATTTCAAAGCCATAATTTCTAATTTTTAGGGACTCTTTAATGACTGGCATAGTACCACTGGATTGGCGTAAGGCCAATCTGGTGCCTACATTTAAAAAGGGGTCAAAATCTTTCCCAAGTAATTATAGACCTGTTTGTTTAACTTCAATAGTTGGGAAGAGCGTTTAATAAAAGACCACATAGATGAGTTCATGCTGGAAAAAATATTTTAAGCAACAGACAGCATGGATTCATGAAATACAGAAGTTGTCAAACAAATCCGATTTCTTTTTATGAGGAGGAGAACAAAACCTTGGACAGAGGAGTGGCTGTGGAAGTGGTATACTTGTATTTTGCAAAATCATTTGACACAGTTCAACACACACGGCTAATGTGTAGTGTAAGGCAAAGTCTTGGAAAAATCTGTATGTAAATGGAGAAAAAAAACTGGCTAAAAGATTGTATTCAAAGAGTAGTGGTTAATGATTCATTCTCTGAATGGTCTAGGGTTGTTACTGGTGTAACCCAAGGTTCAGTGTTGAGACCCTTACTTTTTAATATATTTCTAAATGATATAGGGTCTGGGGTTAGAATTACAATTTCAGTCTTTGCAGCACGCTGTACAGTGGAAAACATTCTTAAAGGATGTCTCCAACTTACAAGCCGACCTCAATGCACTGTTTAATTGGGCAACTATGTGGCAAATGAGGTTTAATGTTGATAAATGTAAGATTATGCACTTGGGGGCTAAGAATATGCATGCATCATACATACTAGGGGGAGTACAACAGGGGGAATCAATGGTGGAGAAATCTAAAGCAAGCAAAATCCTCTCTGGTATTAAAAGGAGAGAGAGAGAGAGAGAGAGAGAGAGAGAGAGAGAGAGAGATCATATTTCCCCTGTACAGATCATTAGTAAGACCTCATCTGGAATATGCAGTTCAGTTAATCTCCAAACATGGAAAGGTTTCATCAGAGAGCTGTGAAAATGTGCAATAGACTCCCTCAAGAGTTGGTTCTGGCCAGCTCAGTGGATTGCTTTAAAAAAGGCCTGGATTCTTTCTTAGATAGACAGAATATAACTGGTTATTTACAGGTAAAGTTGATCCAGGGAATATCCGACTGCCTCTTGGGGGATCAGGAATGAATTTTTTCCGCTGCAGGAACAAATTGCAGCAAGATTTGCTGGTTTTTTACCTTCTCCTGGATCAACTGTGGGTGTAGGATTATACCTTTTTTTTATGGTTGAACTGAATGGACGTTTGTATTTAGCCAGACTAACTATGTAACTATGAATGAAAGCCATTCACGACAGTTTGCTTACATTGTAATCAAGTGATTGGTCATAGCGATCACATGATACAGCAGCTGGGTACCAAGCACTGTGATCCACTGTGTCCACCGGAAAAATCAGTCACAGGATTGTGCCACTGCCTACATCGTTTGCAATAAAGGTACTGTGGGAGGGTAGCAAGTGGTTAATGATACTATACTATGGTGGTTTACGATGTATTTTTCCCTCCGCTTATGGTATTCACTGCCCTAGTCCAGTTTACTGAAGCAAGAGCTGGTTGCAGGACTGGGCCTGCAAGAGCAAAGAACGACTTTAAAAGCATTTCAAACATTTTATTGTCAATCTTTGAAAGGAGGAATAATGCTTCCTTTCCACTTTAAGCTTTAAACTGCAATTATTTTACATGAGTACTCAACTGTAGCGGTGTACCAAAATGAAAATTCTGGTGCCAAAACTGAAAATTCAGGATACACTTGGCCGAAAACCGAAACAGCGGTTTTAAAAAGTAATACATTTTTCAAATGCAGCTTTTTTTGGAAAAAAAAAAAAAAAAAAAAAAACTTTAATGATTTAAACAAAAAAAAACAATACATACCCCAACTTTTTTGTAAAATATGAAAGAGGATGTTACACCGAGTAAATAGATACCCCACATGTCATGCTTTAAAATTGTGCACGCTCGTGGAATGGCGTCAAGCTACGGTACTTAAAAAAATCTCCATGGGTGACGCTTTAAAAATTTCTATAGGTAACTAGTTTAAAGTTAGAGGAGGTCTAGCACTAGAATTGTTGCTCTTGCCCTAACTTTCGTGGCAATACTTCATGTGTGTGGATTGAACACAGTTTACATATGTGGGCATGGCCTTTGTATGCGTTCATAACTACATAGTTACATAGTCTGGCTAAAAAAAGAGAAAAGTCCATCCAGTTGAACCATGGGGGGGGAAGCTATAATCCTATACCCACAGTTGATCCAGAGGAAGGCAAACTAAGCACAAGCATCGAACATAGGGGGGCGGGGGCACTTTAAATTTTTTTTTTGTTTTTTTTACACTGTCCCTGGAAAAAAAAAAAAGTTTTTTTAATCACTTTTATTCCTATCACAAGGAATGCATGCATCCCTTGTGACAGAAATAAGTAGTGACAGGTCCTCTTTATGGAGAGATATGGGGTCAATAGGACCCCACATCTCTCCTCTACAATGTAAAGCATTAGAAAAAAAAAAAATTGATCTAGTGCTTTAAAAAAAAACAAACAAAAAAAAAAAACCAAAAAAAATCCAAAATGGCCTTGTTTATAAGGCGCTGGAACCGGAAGTGACGTTGCTCCGGTCCTCCAAGGGCATAGAGATGCCGGGATCATTCAATGGTTTCTCAGGTAAGGCTGAGAACCACCGAGGGCAGGCAGTGGTGGGTGGCGAGGGGCGGGGCTATCTTCGGCACCTGTAATTGGTGCTTATTTTCCTGTCGGCCAAAGGCAGATAGGGGTGTTTTCGGCCACCGAAATTTCAGTGCATTTCTACTCAATTGTACATGATAGGGTTACTACCCATCTCAGCAAGCAATCTGAGCTCATACTTACGCAGCTCAACATGAGGGTTTCCAGACTGTTTCTTCTGTTTATCTCCACCATCAGATTCATCTAAAAATGCAAGTGATCAGGTTATACGTAATAAAAACACATGACAATTAGAAGACAAAATTATGAACGTATTAGGCCTCATACACACCGAGCTTAAAAAATGCCAGGTTTACAGGTGTTTAGAATTTTTTCAGCCTGTAAAAGCAGCTGTTAGCCTACATGTCGATGCACTTTGACATTTACGGACATATTAAAAGAGAAGCATTTACAGACTGAAGAGGAAAAAAAAAAAAAAAAAGCGTGCTCAGGAGAGCAGAATACGGAGCGCTTAACCACGTGTAATAATAAATATTCAAGCCCATGGAATCCATTACCAAACACTTGACATGACTAAATGCGTGTGCAATACGTAGCTTTAGAAATATTTTTAGGCAGCTTTTCTCCTGCCAGAAGATCTGGTGTTCAAAGGAGAAAAGCAAACCACCCTGTGCACATGAGGCTTTAATAAACCAATGCAAAGAGATATATTATAATTCAGTTTAAAGAATTATTTCAATGCACATACGAACTTTATAGGGGTGCACAAGCCTCATATACACAAGGACAAAAACATTCTAATATAGCAATGTTAAAGTAAGCACATTGCAAGCAGAGACTACTTTCTGTAAAAACTACACATCAAAACAATTCGATCCAGAGATACAAGCAGCAGAAAACACTAGGGCAGAATGTTCCAGGTAAAGGCAAGATTTATCAAAGCCACCCTACTAATCGGTGCGGCCTCCCACCCTCCTGTCTTGAACTGCTGTATGATAATAAACTAGATCAGTAAGACCTATACCCTCATATTTTGTGGGCATTTTAAGAAATTTTTTTTTATTCTGGGCTTTTTTTATGCCCAAATGAAGTTGACAACTAGGGATTTGATTTCAAAGTTGGTTTATTATATTGTTTATGCTGAACCAGGTGAACACTTTCTTATGCCAATTAGTGAGGTCCCATTGAATTGTTGGTAGTAGGAGTTTAAAATCCAAGTCAAAGTTTCTGTAGGTTTGCCATGGCCGCCTTACAGAGGTACTTAATATGAGACAGGGCACATTTTGAAGGGGATGGTTCCCAGAATCCTAAATTGCCAAATGATCCTGTCAAACACTTTTCTTGTTTGGTGTTAGCTGTACATGCAGAGTTTGAGGTAGCATAACTGATGTATACCCTAGAGTAGTGGTCTCCAAACTGCAGCCCGGGGGATGGATGCGGCCCTTTGTTTGCTTTTATCTGGCCCCTGGGGCACTTTTACCTCTCCCACTAATACAAGACACTATTCCTCCAACTGACACCAACAATGGGGCATAATTCCTGCTACTGAGAAACAACCGGACACTATTCCTCTCATTGACAGCAATGATGGGGCACTATTCCTCTCATTGACAGCAATGATGGGACACTATTCCTCTCATTGACAGCAATGATGGGGCACTATTCCTCTCATTGACAGCAATGATGGGGCACTATTCCTCCCACTGACAACAATGATGGGGCACTATTCCTCCCACTGACGCTAATCATGGAGCACTATTCCTTCCACAGACACCAAGAATAGAGCAATATTCCTTCCACAGACACCAAGAATAGAGCAATATTCCTTCCACTGACACCAATGATGGGACACTTTTCCTCCCACTGACACCAACAATGGGGTGCTATTCCTCCTCCTAATACAAAAGATGCATTGTTTACTCCCTCTGATGTCAGGACAATTTCTTTTCCCGATGACCACAGTCCGGCCCCCCTAAAACCTTAAAACAGTAAATTGGCCCTTTGTTTAAAGAGTTTAGAGAACCCTGTCCTAGAGGAACTATCCCTTGCTTCTCAGGTGGGAGTGAAGCCTGAGTGAATCACGTTGGAAGGTTTGGAAGGTGGAGAAGAGGGGGAATCAATGTTGGAAGGTGGAGAAGAAGTCTCATATGTTTCACATCTTAGACTGTGGAGTTTAAAAGAAAATGTCATGGTAGAAATACAGAAGCTGCAACTAATAATTTGTTTTGGCAGACGCAAGCTTATACATCTTTTGCTACTTAATGAGTATATGCTGATCAAGTGTTAAGACTCTTGCTAAGTCCATGCTTGTTTCAGGGCAGTGACACAGTAAGTAGTTAAACATAGGGTTGCTGGGCCTGGAGCTCACACCTTCAATAACATGTTAATAATGGAAGCTTCCATGTTTTTTATGCAACATTAGTAACCCATCAAGCATTTGACTACAGTGTGAACAACCAAAAAAGTTGCCATTTAAAAATGTGGTCAGCCTACCGGGATGAAAAACATTTTAACTTTGTAGCTAGCAAAACAAAATTATTACATTTTTGCAAGCGATGCAGCTACAGACTCTGGGTGTTCCTTGCTCAAAATTTGCTCACGCTAGACTATTGAATTTGCATGAGATGGATATCTCACACAGCTTCCAGCTAACTGAAATTTGATGAAAACTTAGCCCTGGGTGTCCAGTATGACCAAAATTAAACAGATTTATGCAAAATGAATTAACAGTCTAAAGACAACTATTCAGGGGTTTATGATAAAAATAATGTTTAAAAGAAAAAAAAATATTTTTCTAAATGACATCTTTTACAGACAACCAAGATAGTATGCCCATACAGTATTTTCTAAGGAAATTGTTATATATTATGTTTAAGTTACAATTATTAGATATTTTTCATAGGTCCATCTCATTATCTTTTCATTCCCAGAGAAATGCCCACCTTCCCCCAGGTCAAAAGAGTCCAAGCTGAAGCTTCAGTCAGGGCAAATCAGTCATTACATTTTTCTCCATCTATAGCTCCGCAGAAGCAAATCATTCTAATGGTACTACAGAGTACCAGGGCTGGTAAACATTGCACAATCATAGCAATAAATTAGAATATACTTTAGTAATTATATTAAAAATATCTCTGTCATGAACAAAGTACAGTACCTAAAGTCAACTTGTGGGTAACATGTAGTTAAAGCATCGCTGGGATCCCTCCTTCCTCTAAAACGAGTCTCCAAATGCAGGCCAAGGGCTAGATGCGGCCCTTTGCTAGCCTTTATCTGGCCCTTGGGAGACTATTCCGGCCACGGATACCGGCGACGGGGCACTATTCCGCCCCGCGGATACCGGCGACGGGGCACTATTCCGCCCGCAGATACCGGCGACGGGGCACTATTCCGCCCGCGGATACCGGCGACGGGGCACTATTCCGCCCGCGGATACCGGCGACGGGGCACTATTCCGCCCGCGGATACCGGCGACGGGGCACTATTCCGCCCGCGGATACCGGCGACGGGGGCACTATTCCGCCCACGGATACCGGCGACGGGGCACTATTCCGCTCACGGATACCGGCGACGGGGCACTATTCCTCCCACATTCCGCCCAAGGATACCGGCGACGGGGCACTATTCCGCCCAAGGATACAGGCGACGGGGCACTATTCTTCTCACTGATGCCAGCGACGGGGCACTATTCCCCCCACTGATGCCAGCGACGGGGCACTATTCCCCCCACTGATGCCAGCGACGGGGCACTATTCCCCCCACTGATGCCAGCGACGGGGCACTATTCCCCCCACTGATGCCAGCGACGGGGCACTATTCCCCCCACTGATGCCAGCGACGGGGCACTATTCCTCCCACTGATGCCAGCGACGGGGCACTATTCCTCCCAGTGATGCCAGCGACGGGGCACTATTCCTCCCACTGATGCCAGCGACGGGGCACTATTCCTCCCACTGATACCAGAAATAGGGCGCTATTCCTCCCACTGATACCAGAAATAGGGCGCTATTCCTCCCACTGATCCAAACAATGGGGCGCTATTCCTCCCACTGATACCAGAAATGGGGCGCTATGCCTCCCACTGCTCTCAATGATGGGGCACTATTCCTCCCACTGATCCCAGCGATGGGGCCCTATTCCTCCCACTGATCCCAACGATGGGGCACTATTCCTCCCACTGATCCCAGCGATGGGGCCCTATTCCTCCCACTGATCCCAGCGATGGGGCCCTATTCCTCCCACTGATCCCAGCGATGGGGCCCTATTCCTCCTACTGATCCCAGCGATGGGGCCCTATTCCTCCCACTGATCCCAGCGATGGGGCCCTATTCCTCCCACTGATCCCAGCGATGGGGCCCTATTCCTCCCACTGATCCCAGCGATGGGGCCCTATTCCTCCCACTGATCCCAGAGATGGGGCCCTATTCCTCCCACTGATCCCAGCGATGGGGGGCCCTATTCCTCCCACTGATACCAGTGATGGGGTACTATTACTCCCACTGATACCAGCAATGGGGCACTATTCTGGACCTTAAACTGAAGCAACGGTTCATCTTTCAACAGGGCAACGACCCTAAGCACACAGCCCACATAACAAAGGAGTGGCTACGGGCCAACTCTGTGAATGTCCTAAGGTGTCCCAGCCAGAGCCCAGACTTAAACCCGATTGAACATCTCTGGAGTGATCTGAAAATGGCTGTGTAACGACACTCCACATCCAACCTGATGGAGCTTGAGAGGTACTACAAAGAAAGAAAAGAGAAAAATTGCCCAAAAATAGTTTGCCAAGCTTGTAGCATCATACTCAAAACAACTTGAGGCTGTAATTGGTGCTAAAGGGGCTTCAACAAAGTACTGAGCAAAGGCTGTGAATACTTATGTATATGTGTTTTTTTTTTTTTTTTAGTAAATTGCAGAGATTTCAAAATTAACTTCTTTCATGTTGCCATTATGGGGTATTGTGTGTAGAATGTTGAGGAAAAGAGGAAAACATGTATTTAATAAATTTTGGAATAAGGCTGCAAAATGTGGCAAAACCTAAACGCTGTGAATACTTTCTGGATGTACGGTATATTTCTGGAGTGCTGTTCATAAACAGTTCAGAAAACATACTTGGGCATCTGTGAGTAGCTGTGATCTAAGCGGTTATCGTCAAGTGACATTTATTACCAACCATGATGGAATAATTTACTTTAAAAGGGGTGGGGAAGGGCAGAAAGAGTTGAAGTTCCCCTGACCACTAATGATTGCAGGATTGTTTTTTCAAAGGTAAAGAAATGAAAGGTAACGATGAGCAAACCCAAAATGTTGGTTTTTATCCCTTTGTGTATTATAATAGATTATTAATATACTACTAAACAATTTAGAGCACTGAAAATTAAAAAATATCCTGGTAATTAAGGGGTATATAAAGGCTACTAAAAGTGGTTAAACATTTATTTTTATTAAAAGCTATTTTTTGTTTAGTTAAGGATAGAGTACGGACTGTTTTAAACCCATCAATAGTTTTTCTTTGCTGTCTGTATTCTGTTGGAGGGATTCTCTGTCTTTAGGTACAACAGGAAAAGACAAAACCTCCTAATCCTAAACCCCTCATAAAATGCATGCAAAAATGTGCAGAAACAAAGAGGCGGGCTTTAATGCTCAAGTGCACTGCACATGCATCAATGTCAGAGCCTTCTGTGCGAAGAGCAGGCTCACTGCACGATCGCAGTACAGTGACCAAGCGGTCGAAGACAGCTTTTGGTCTCTACTAATGACCAGGAGCTAGCAAGACAGGCTCCTGTTTATGTGATCACCAATCACAGAGGCTGTGTGATTGGCCAGTCCTTCCAGTTACATAAAGACCAGGGCATAAAGACTCTGATGGAGTTGCAGGAAGGGGTTAAAGGAACTCCCCTCTGAGATAGTGGTCACACAAACCAGAACCGCCACTGGAAGATTATCCCTCTGTTCCTTTTCACAACCTATAATTTTTAGAGCTTCCTTCACTTTTAGTACTGTTAATAGTGGTCATCAGGTCAAGCAATCAGTGAAATCTCAACAGTAGGAAAAGAGAAATAAAAACTTGGCAGGCTCCAACTCTTCCCAACTCAATAAAAATAGTGTTTACATTCGCTTCATATTACACGCCCTACTTTCAATAATGAAGGTTGGTGCTGAGAAAATATACATTTTACTTGCTAAAACTTTTAACAGCTTTGAACTGATTGTAACAAGTGGAAGTAATTTCTGAGGTTTAATTACTCCTGGTTGAGAAACTATATTTTTAGTTCTATAAAGATCTGCTCTGTCATTAGTGCTCTAGGAGATGAGCAGAGTAACACTGTACTTTGTATCATTTCCAAGAGATATATAGGACTGCTAGTCTGTCAGCATTAATATCTGTCTCAACATCAGCTAATCTGCTATATGTGAGTGGTAAAGTAAATAACATGACAGTTCTGCTGTTAAGTGACAAGGCTAAACCTGATGATGCTAGCAAAATGACTTGATATTGGTGAACAGGCTAAAGAAATCAGCTGGCATCAATGATAGTTGCATGCAATGACACCGCAAAGTAACAGAACCGTGATGAGAACTGAAAATTAGAATCTACTAGCATGACACATAAAAAGATTTAAAATCTATAGATGAAAGGTCACAGTTATTGTATTGGCAAAAGTGTGGCTTTAGAAAATCAGCATTAATAGGTCCCTTAATAGAAATATGATAGAATTGTTCTATAAGGAAACTGTTAACAGCTGTAACAATATCCTTAAATCCTAAAACCTTAAAAGCTTTTTGAAAGGTAGAGAGCATGACAGTGTATGGAAGACACACCTTGTGGTTCACCTCCTTGACTTTCTGCACCTTCCCTGCCCATCTGTCCTACTTGGTAGTAGGCACTGTCAGCACCTCGCAATGTTTCTTTTCTCTGCGCAGATAGGTCTGGGCTTTTCCCACCCGTGCCACGAAAGAATGACAAGACCCCTGAAGGCTTTTTACCTGAAACCAAGACAAAATCAGTGCTTTTATTAAAAGCCTAATTAAAATGGAAAATTGGTTTGCTCAATACATTACCAGAAGGAAAATTATATGATAGGATTTCAGTAAAACTTTGGCTCTCACCATGTTCTTTACCAGAGAAAAAAAAAAAAATGGTCACTAGGACAAACAGAGGGTGAAACTCTGCTCAGCCGAGAGTGTGTAAGGAATACAGCGCCTCTCACCAGACTCGCAATGCTTATTGCAGTGGAAATTAGGAAACAAGCTAGATCCCGTTATATTTTAATACCAGCCAATGAAAATCACTAAAACATTCCAAAAACTTTGCTAGATGGTAACATACTGATTTAAATAAACGTGTACTGAGAAAAATAATATGTGAGCTACCACCATTAAGCACTCATTCTCAAAAGGTTGGTTTCAAAAGGTTTGTTGCCTGGCTATGCCAACGACTTGCATACTTTCTACATGTCTGACTAGGAACAAAAATGTAAAAATAGAATTTTGTACTCACCACTGACAGACACAGGAAGTCTTTATCCTTTGGGCTATACTGCTTACTACAGAAGGATATGACATTAGCAAATTGTGAGTACAAAAGTCTATTTTCTATCTTTTTTTTTTTTGAGGGACAGTCTTTTAACCTTTAGGATGTCTAAAAGCAGTCCTTTCTTCCTGAAAAAAGAAATAGCTGAAAGACTCTCACAGCCCAAACCACATCCAGACAATGGAGAGAGATTCCCTTTTGCTGAACTGGAGCTGGACAGAGAAACCACAGAATGTCCTTGTTGAAGTAACATCCTTGATTCCTCAGGGCTGGAAAAACAGGACATGCAGGGAGGCATCTTCGAGGTCTCCCTGAAAAGCGAGGCAATCACCAATCAGAAATACGTCATCTTCAGGGGCGGACTGACCATTTGGAAACTCAGGCACTGCCTGAGGGCCCGGGGTCAGTAGGGGGCCCCATGAGATGCCCCTGGTACCTTTTTCATAGGCTTTTTTTGAGTCTGGGCAAGGACACAGGGGCCCCATGATCCCCTATTGCCCGGGGGCCCCATGAGTTGTCAGTCCGCCCCTGATCACCCTAAATTCAGGAACATGTTGAAACCCTTGACATGTAGGACAGGCCGTGATGTGGGCTTTTATTTGGACCCTGATTGCTTACAAAAGGAACTCCTCTTGGACTCTGAAGGTGTTACTGGCTTCTGACCTGTAAGCTCTGTGTTCTTAAGGGGTAAGAGTACTCTTCCCTACAGTCCTTCTGGATGTAGGCATACCAGAATGGTATAAAAAGACCTCAAAAGGCAGCCCCTCACTGAGACTCTTGTACAGAGGTTCCACTGACAAAAAGTTAAGCTATGGGATCCTTCTCAAGTGGACAGACATAATGCCCAGTAGTGAAAGTTGCCTTATGGAATTTCCCAAGTTATCTACCAAGAAGCCCAGGGCTCTTAGAAAATCTTCAGTAGCTACCAAAAAGCAGGATCTTCTGGATTAGATTCTCTGAAACACAGCATCTGCTTCGCCAAGACCATGGCAAATTCCTACTGCAGCTGCCAAAGACTGAAATGCCACTCATCAGAAAGAAGGACATCTTAAACAGGGTCTCTAACTTCTAATCCAATGCATCTTTAAAGACTGGGACATCATCCAACGGGACTCTCAATGTCTTAATCAAATATTAAATAGCCAATCAACAGCCAGAACCCTCCCCCCCCACACACACTTTTTTGTACATTTTTTGCAATCTTTTCTTAATGGGGTACTGGTGTGAAAACCATTTTGGTGTTGAAAACACCTTCTGTGGGTAAGCCCAATCAACACACAGCACTTCTGCAAAGGGAGGGTACACGCTAAAGGATGTTTTTGCAGCCACCAGAACCCAAACGCAGGAAGATTCAAGTGGCGGTAACTTAAGGTTAGCGCAACAAATTCACCAGAAAGCCCACCGTGGCAGCCTGTGCTTGAGAGAACTCAGGACCTTGAGATTCAGGCAGGGGTTTAGAGATAATCTGACCCATAGGGTAGCCATTGCAGGGTGAATTTTGCAGGGGAATATCTATTTGATGAAGAAATCTGAGAGCCCCCCATTGTCCTTCTCCCCACCTCCCTGGCTGCAAAAAGTTGTGGCTTGCTGAGGGATAATATGCCTGTTAACACAGCAAGAAGCAGCCAACCAGCTGATAGAAGATTCAGCCTTATGCCAAAACACTAAAGTAACAGCTCCCCCTAAAAAATGCACATACTCCTGTACTTTTTGTGATAGGGTCAAATAATAATAAGTGAAAAAACACAAGGATAGACAGCTGATAGACAGCTGGAGTTGCAGCAAATCTCCATTAATAGCTGGAAAACTAGGAACAAAAATGAAGATCGTTTTGACCTTGGCGTTTTAAAGGGCCAAATAATAGAAACTGTATTGGTAGAAGCAACAGGCCAATCCTCCATTGTCAGACTTACAGATTGCATCCATTAGGAGCCAAAACAGTTCATAAGTTATGGAACGACTCAGTTTCTGTGGCAGATTGCTCAGAAGTCACTAAGGCCGCAGACAAATTAGATAGAAAATCTGAAGGCGGCACAGAAACAGCAAATACCTGTGATTTCAGTCACAGAATCTTTCATAACTATGGTAAAAACCTCCGCTGAAAAGGGAGAGGGTTCAGCCACACCCAGTGGAGCCAAGAGGCATGCCAAGGATAGAAGAGACTCTTAAGGGCAGAGGATAATATAATTCCAGGCTGCAGACACTAGCACCATTAGTAGGCAAACATAAGAGGCAAGGCCTCAGGTACTCAAACTCAAAAGACAGCTGGTAACAAATGAGGGTCAGAAGGCCGATTGTGACCAAGGTGACTGTAGGCAGAAAGCCGGACTAGATTGAAGTTCCATGTGGGTCTTCGCAAGTTGAAGCAGCAGAGAGGAGAGGCTGAATTGTAGGAAACAGAGCAGGGATGACAGAGCTAACCCTCCTGTTGGCAGCAGTGTAACCCAAAGTTTAAAGACACCCCATGTCCCTCAATAAACGAGAAAGACATCCTGAATAATCTGAACTTTATACAGATTTAAATGCATTTTAAATGCACATGTTAACAAGCAGCAGAGTGGGAGGAAGACACACCCTATCAATATACACTGTGTGATTTTTCTGTTATTTGTAGGACACCATGCTTCAAAAAGAAAGCTCTGTTATAATGCATTAGATTCAGTCAGCCAATGAAAGGTATGGTCTATAAATTTAATATGCTATAGGAAACTGCTTTTTGTGCTTTTCTACAAAATAAATGAGCCACATAACACTGCATTTAAAAATTCTAATGTGACAATTTATTTTACAGAAGAAATCATTGTTGAAATAAATTCTAGTGGTAAGACTGAGAAAATTAGATTCATATGGCAATCTGTTAGCCATGTTTACAGCAAATACTTTTTCTGTATAGAATACATGGAGTGGTTCCAGTTTTTCCATCTGGTACTCTATACACATGAAATAATGTTTAACCTACTGGCACTCTGAGTTTCTGCATCAGCTGTACGGGTTAACTGGGTCAGGTTTGGTTCTGGTGCTTTGGCAGGGCTGCTGGTTTTCGGTCTGCTTTCAATCATACTGAAAGTGAAAAACAAGAATGTTAAACAATACATGGTTGTTTATTAATTACAAGTTCATGTAAAGATCAGACCCTTTTTCCCCTCCACTTGCCTTGAAGAAAAAAGTACATTTCAATGGACAGTAAACTGTCTGCTCTTGTTATGAATGAGTTGGATGAGTTGTAAGTGAATTAGACCTCTCCAAATAATTCAGATTTGCTGGAAGCCTGTTATGATTCCTCCCACTCTGTTTTCCTATTATACAGAACTATGTGTACTATGCTTTCTTGGAAATGTTCACACCCATGAAATGTCTCCACATTTATTGTGGTGTTGAATCATTCCTCTCTGGTTATATGCCCATGGTACATCTTTAACATGTGAATCCTAGGGATTCTTAAAGGAACATAACAGAAGATGGTGTTCTGCTTCACACAATGTACTGACTGAACCATGGAAAAATCCCACTGGAGTCACTGCTCTGATTCATTCACTTGTGTGTTAATTTCAGTTTGAGCTATTGAGCTCTTTAAACAACAAACTCGATGAGAATATAGAATACTCATTCAAAATTTTTATGTTTACTGTTTAATTGATCAAACAATGCTGAAGACAAACGTATGCATAAAACCAATATACATTCTATTAATGAATGCATTTAGGGTGATTGCACACAGTACTGCGACAGTCTTTTTACTGCATTGTAAATTGCTTATCACCACAAGAACAAACAGAAAACAACTGTTTTCTGTTTTGTTCAATTCACACTGGAACACAGCCCGGAGCGGTGCTGCAGCATACTGTGATAATATGCAGACATGCTATATTTTATTGCAGCACACTATCGCAGCACAGCACATCACACCGCTGTACAGAGGTATGAATAAAGTGCACTTGAATACACCGCAAATAAAGTTTTTTTTTTTTCTTTTTTATTTGTACAAAAAGAGCTATATGATGATCTGAATGGCACACCACAGTGCCCTCTACAACAGTCAGGAATGGACAGCTGCCAGAGCCTTAAATCGCTCTGGAAACTGTCCGTTCTAATGTGAATTTAGACTCGCTCAAAATGCACTATAATTTAACCGCAAAAACGAGCAGGGTAGAACATGGTGTAATATAGTTATTAAGGAGCAATTTCACTACAGGTATTTTAAATAAACCTTTTCGCTCAATTATATGAGTATTCAGATTTTTAAATGCATGTTTTTTGAGAAACTAACCATTCATGGTGTTTCAAATTAAAAATAAATAGAACAGTTCTACTCTACTAATGACAAGTAATAATTGTTTCCACTGGGAATAAGAACTGCACTTTCTGCCAGCTCAGCAAAGTCCTGCAGATGTTACGCTCACCGCACATTCTATCATAAATACTGCATGGAGGTATGGAGAATAAAACAAATACCCTGATACATTCCTTCCTGGTTATCAAAGGAAATATAAAACCATGGCAATAAACATTTAAAATGATGAACATACGTCGTAGGAAGAGGAGCATCTTCTGCACAGCTCTTCACAGATACTTTGGACAAATCATCCAGTGCATTCCTATATTCTTTACAGCTTTAAAAAAAAAAAAAGGAAAACAAAATATATATATGGATCAAATAAAATATAACTTAAATCAACCTGAACTGCTTCCTAAAACTGAACAGTCTTAATTTAACAATTTTTTTTTTGCAGCCACAAAGCCAACTTACAGTAAACAACTTTGAACATTTTGTCCCAAAAATGTAAGCTAAAGTTTATTACGCAAACATAGGAGTACAAAGAATTTACCCATATATTTCAATCTATAAATATTTTATGGACCTACAAAGCAGAAACATTATCCTAAGACTACAGACAGACATTTTTGGCTGTGTTAGGTCATAAACTGATAAAAAGAAATGGAAATAACTATTTTAAGTAAGGAAACATGACTACAACCACAAAAAATTACCGTATTTTTCGCTCCATAAGACGCACCTTGTATTTAGAGGAGAAAAACAAAAAAAAAATATTCTGAACCAATGGACTGCAGACACAGTACAGGAGATGACCAGAGACTGCGGACACAGTACAGGAGATGACCAGAGACTGCGGACACAGTACAGGAGATGACCAGAGACTGCGGACACAGTACAGGAGATGACCAGAGACTGCGGACACAGTACAGGAGATGACCAGAGACTGCGGACACAGTACAGGAGATGACCAGAGACTGCGGACACAGTACAGGAGATGACCAAGAGACTGCGGACACAGTACAGGAGATGACCAAGAGACTGCGGACACAGTACAGGGATGACCAAGAGACTGCGGACACAGTGCAGGGGATGACCAGAGACTGCAGACAGTGCAGGGGATGACCAGAGACTGCGGACAGTGCAGGGGATGACCAGAGACTGCAGACAGTGCAGGGGATGACCAGAGACTGCAGACAGTGCAGGGGATGACCAGAGACTGCAGACAGTGCAGGGGATGACCAGAGACTGCAGACAGTGCAGGGGATGACCAGAGACTGCAGACAGTGCAGGGGATGACCAGAGACTGCAGACAGTGCAGGGGATGACCAGAGACTGCAGACAGTGCAGGGGATGACCAGAGACTGCAGACAGTGCAGGGGATGACCAGAGACTGCAGACAGTGCAGGGGATGACCAGAGACTGCAGACAGTGCAGGGGATGACCAGAGACTGCAGACAGTGCAGGGGATGACCAGAGACTGCAGACAGTACAGGGGATGACCAGAGACTGCAGACAGTGCAGGGGATGACCAGAGACTGCAGACAGTGCAGGGGATGACCAGAGATTGCAGACCTTTGGGGAGGGAGGGGGAGCGGGTACCTGAATTTGACAGGTACCCGCTCCCACTTCCAAGGAGTTGTCCTTCTTTCTTCCCGAGGCGGCTTCTGTGACAGCCGAGTTCCCACTGCGCATGCGCGAGAGAAGCGCTGCACTTTGTGAATGACCCGAAACCTTCTGGGACCTGTCATGTGTCCCAGAAGATGCCGGACCATTCACAAAGCGCAGTGCTTCTCGTGCATGCGCAGTGGGCACCCGGCTGTCACAGAAGCCGCCGCGGGAAGACTGCAGCGCTGGAGCGAGGAACAGGTAAAGGTCCTGCCGGAGAAAAGAACTGAGCGGCCGGGCCCGATATTCTGACATGGTGGCAGCAGAAATACCGGACCGGCCGCTTTACAGTCACTCCATAAGACGCACTGACATTTTCCCCCCTTTTTTTGGGGGAAAAAAGTGCGTCTTATGGAGCGAAAAATACGGTAAGTAAAAAACTCTGAGTGGACCCTGTAGCCATTGGGAAATCATAACAATGAAAAATTGGTAAAAGGAAAATAAACTAATGCCATCTATCTTTCTGAGCCAAAACTTATTTTGGTATGTAGTTCACTGAAAAACTATTTCAGTCCTGGGCAGAGGCAGTCAGGTTGAGAATAATGGATTGTTAACTTCATATTCTAACTCCACTTCTGTTAGGAAAATAAAATCCCTTCTGGGTGATTCCTGTACATTGCAAGCATTTTATCCACTTCTCGCCAGCCGTACGCATACAGTGAGGAACAGATCATACAATGTGATTTCCTGAATTTTTTTTTTAATTCTGTCTCTCAAGAGTAGGAATGCACCTACAATGCGAATTTCAGACCCCTCCATGATTTCTAAATGGGAGAACTTGCAAAATCGCAGGGTGTTCAAATACTTCTGTTCCTCGTGTATATGTGGCCTCCTGGAGGGTGGGCTTTAACACAGAGTGGCAGCATACATGCATCCCTATGTAAAACATTTTATTGTGCCAAGAGCACGCTCCCTGCGCGCTCCGAGCACAACTGGCAGGTACTGGAAAGTTTCCGATGCATACTGCATGCACGAGTGTTATCCATGAAGGAAACCTCTCCTAAAGCCTATGCACAAAAAAGCCCGCCTAGAATTTGCCAGGGCCCATGCTGAAAAAGAAGATTACTACTAGGACTCTGTACTCTGGGGTGATGAGACCAAGATACATTTTTTTGGAACTGATGGCTTCGAAACTGTATGGTGTCACAAAGCTGAGGAGTACAAAGAAAAATATATGGTGCCTAAAGCAAAACAAGGTGGTGGCAGTGTCGTCCTGTGGGGCCGCATGAATGCTGCTGGTGTCAGAGAGCTGCAATTCATTGACGATATCATGAATTCACAGATGTACTGCTCTATATTGAAAGAGAAGAAGCTACCATCACTCAGTGCAACCTTGGTCCTCGTACACTTTTCCAACATGACAATGATCCAAAACACACATCTAAGGCCACTGTTGCATTTCTGAAGAACAGGGTGAAAGGGATTCAAAGGCCAAGTATATCTCCTGATCTGAACCCAATCGAACACCTATGGGGAATTCTGAAGGGACAAGTTGAGCATCACCCTCCATCCTGCATCCAGGATCTAAAAGAGGTCGTTCTTGAAGAATGGAAAAAGATAGATGTTGCAATATGACGCCAACTTGTTCATTCCATGCCTAGAAGACTTGGTGCTGTCCTTACAAAGGATTGAGGTCATACAAAATATTAGAACGTAGTAGTTTTTGTTTTGGGGTATATTCATTTATGCATCAACTAACTTGAGTAAAACTGAAGATTTTTGTAATCCTGGTCACCAGGATCTGGAAAGGTAACTCAGGGGATCTCCAGGCAAAAACATCAAGCTGCTGATAGTTTCCCAGGCTCCGTTGGGCTGGCCCCTTAAGGTGTATTCCTCTTACTCCCACCCTATACCTATGACTGGTTCCCATTGCTGGATGGATGTTTTTTCCTGGAGAGTAACGGTTTGCCGATTACCTGTCGTGCTGATGTGTGCCAGATGATCCCCCGAGTTACCTTTCCAGAGCCAGATGACCAGGAGTGGTTTGATTTACTCAAATGCGTGATATATTGCGCTTTCTGGTTAGTGCAATGTACATTCGTTTTCAAGCCACTGGAGTCACGGAATTCACTTTATGTTTATTGGACTTTGCATTTATTTATTATATTTGTGTCACTTCCGCACTTTAAACGTCAATACCAAGACCTTATTTTCACCATTGGATATAGCGCTCCACAGCGCAGTTGTTTATGTTAATTACATCATACATACATGTTGATTTATTTACTAATTTTTTATATAGCACTGCATTTTACGCTTATTACTCTAGGAGAGCTGGACAGGGCTGTAAAAGGTCCTTAACCCATCAGCAGGACCAGTATCTGCTCCTTTGTGCAAGGAGGACAGGCTGAGCACTGCCAAAGCCCTCTCTGACCAAACAATCAGAAAAAGACTTCATGAGGGTGGCCTGAGAGCCCGACATCCTTTAGTCGGCCCTGTGTTCACTGCCCGGCACCATAGAGCTCGATTGGCATGTGCCATTGAACACCAGAATTGGCAGGTCCACCACTGGCGCCCTGTGCTTTTCACAGATGAGAGCAGGTTCACCCTGAGCACGTGACAGACGTGAAAGGGTCTGGAGAAGCCATGGAGAATGTTATGCTGCCTGTAACATCGTTCAGCATAACCATATTTGGTGGTGGGTCCAGTGATGGTCTGGAGAGGCATATCCATGGAGGGACGCACAGACCTCTACAGGCTAGACAATATCACCCTGACTGCCATTAGGTATTAGGATGAAATCCTTGGACCCATTGACAGACCCTATGCTGGTGCAGTGGGTTCTGGGTTCCTCCTGGTGCATGACAATGCCCGGCTTCAAGTGGCGAGAGTATGCAGGCAGTTCCTGGAGGATGAAGGAACTGATACCATTGAATGGCCCCCATGCTCACCTGACCTAAATCCAATAGAAAACCTCTGGGATATCATGATTTCGGTCCACCCGATGCCACCAAGTTTCGCCTCAGACTGTCCAGGAGTTCAGTAATGCCCAGGTCCAGATCTGGGAGGAAATACACCAGGACACCATCCGTCGACTCATTAGGAGCATGCCCAGACATGCATCATTTTTTCCACTCTGTTTTTCGGGGTGTCTTTGAATTCATTCCTCTGTAGGTTGATAATTTTCATTTCCATCAAACAATGGGGCATGCTTACATTCCTAACACATTTCCCAGTCCATATCAGTTTAGATATTAAGCATGATATTTTTCTCCATTGAGATCTGATGTGTTTTCAAAGTGTTCCTTTAATTTTTGTTTGAGCAGTGTATGGACTGAGATTGATTGAAATGTTGACCCTAAAAAACACTGCTGCTTTTGATCTTCCTCCTCTGCAAGATCCGTGAGTGCCTCTAAACCAGTTTTGGATTTATATAGATTCCATTGTTAGTGAGCACCTGGGCATTTATCTCAGAGGGCTGTGAGATAGATCAGATGGATCGATTGATCAGATAGATTTATATATTCAAATAAATACACACAGTATTCTGCCCTTGTAAAATTAGAAGAACAGACTACAGACTAAACCACTTAATAGAGATTTAAATTGACTACCTGTCTATGCTTTCAATTAGGTAAGGGACACAGTGACAGGAGAATATTAATCAGCCGTAATTACATTGCTACATGCAGTGTTGCTCGTTTAGAGGTTTATTTTTAATTGCCAAGCAAATCAATAATTGTAGCATACCTGAGAGCAAAGGCTATGATAGAACTTGGCTCCTTCTCACACACGGCTATAGGAACTCGCTCATGCTCGTACATTAAATAGTGTTTATCTGGATCGCTGCAGCAAAGCAAGAAAGGGCAGAAAAAAAACCAATTTATCAGCTCATTAATCATCTGAAGAAGGTGCAGACAAGAACTGAGTAAACTAAACAAGCAACAGGCATGTTCATAGTATAAATTCTGAAAGAAAATAGGAACCTCAATCTAATGAATTTTATGTACTCTTAGCACTAAATCAGTGTTTTACAGCCAAACTTAACATTAAACTCTATTACAGTCATGGTCAATCAACACCTTGAAACAGTAGGTTTTAAACAGAATGGCTAGCAGATGGGAAAGGAACACAATCATTGTGACTGTGTAAGGAGTCCTTTATCTGGTTTAATCAAATTAAACTTATCCAGATATTGTGGACAAGCTTCACTTTTATAGATATTCAAGATTTGATTAAATGTATTTCAGTTAAGAAGGCTATAGCGCTGCCTAAGGAATAACTCAGACCATACAAACCTTTAGCCAGTGGCAACTGCACAGTCAATAGTTTAGGCCTAAATAAAAATCTCTACACATCTGCAACAAGACTTACACTAATGTGAAGTACAGATACTAGTTTAAAAACACTACATGTCTGCTTTACAAATTATTTACATATACCTTAGTTGTAAGAGATATTATGGTTACATGACAAATGCAGTTGGAAGTGTACAAGTGTCCCCATTGTAAATTCTGCAATTTATAGTCATTTTAGCGTGCACCTGGCTGAACAATTAATTTCATTTGCACCCTCTCATTTTCCAGCAGGCATTGGAATACTTACAAAGGCAGTGGAATTGGATTATATTGTTTCCAGGAAGCAGATTAGCAAAAATAGCTTTCATTGTGGATTTCTCTTTCACTTGACTGTCAGTTGATCCCAATAAATGCCCATCAAACACGTCTACAAATATAAAAAAAAAAGACCTGTTTTGTAAATAAAAGTGGTCTATTTATAAATGCTTTCAGACAAGATTCATAGAACTTTCCCCCATATAGTACACATTTGTCCAGCTGAAGTTAGTTATAAAAATGTGAATCTTGGGTGAAGCTGGGTGAATCTTGTGTGTAAACATTAACAGACTGCAATAACATGATGCAAAAACCAGGTCAAATGCATCATCAGAATTTGGAAATGGCAGTGTGATTACTGAATCATTTTACACACCAAAAGTAGCATTATTTGGAAGGGAGTATGTCTAATCAGCAGGATAAAGCAGCTGTAATTTGTTACTAAGCTCTATCACAACTGGCCTTTAAGTGCTGCCAACTAGACCCCATTACATACAGAACTAACATTTAGGAACTGCAACAATCCTATCAACTGCTATAGATAAAGATTGATGATTTGTGGTCATTTGCCTTGGTGTTGGTGACTGCTGTTATTTTCATCATAACAAATGAAAAAACATACTTTCACATAAACAATTTCTATGCATTAAAAATACAGAAATCCACAATTGACAGTATGCAAGTAAATCAACAAGCCACCACCAGTACAGAGTGACCTGATTAGCTAAGCATAACATCCACAGAGAATTTCTATAAATTAGGTTTTTATATTTGAATACACTAACGGTGAATATTTAGAAGTGTTATTATTTCCTAGCAAAATAAACTGATGGATTCATATGCATGGATCTTGACAGAAGACATATTTACAATGGTTATTCTTAAACCGTTTCTTCTCAGTGTTACATCATTACATCAGTTGCTGACAAATCTGTGCTGCAAGGCATCTTTAGGCATTGCAGTATCTATTAAGACTGAACTTTTTCAGCATCTACCACAAAGACAAGAATATATTCCGCACTGGGGATTCTAGATGCTCATTTTCTTTGTCAAGAAATGTCTAAAAAAAATATTCTGAAAGACTTCAGGCTTGTGAAAGCAGCAACATTTCTTTAAAAAAACATTTTTATTCCAGCCTTTGCTCGTATTAAATTAAATCTCAACAAATGTTGGTACCTTTCATAGGCACAATATGGTACCGGCACGTAATTTTAAATTTGGTTAGAGCTACTAGCTGTATCTTGGGAACCCCTGAACTCCGTCATACTGAGAATACAGGCACCAGTCAGAGCTCTCCCATACCCTCAGCGCCCAAGATGTATAGCAATGGTGGTTAACTCACTCGATACAGGAAGACTTAAGTGTGGCCCTTGACATCACTATAGGGCTGTACATAATATTCAGTAAATGTGGATGTACATATAATTACCAAGACTTCAGACATGCTAAAGAAGTTGTTAGAGACAGGGGACATGATTCAAGAGGTATTCATAGACTTCAGGCATATTACATAGGACTGTTAGAAAGTACTGCTGTTACAGCTGATTCAGGAATTGATGCTTTTACATTTGTACTCCATAGCGCCACTTAAAGAGTACTGGTACCACATTTAATATTTATTTCAACAAAATCCATTAAAAAGCATCAATGGAGAAAATAGATGGACAGCAAAGGAAACAGTAAAATGCTGTGAAAGAAAGAAAGCAAACCGTTTAACTACAGGAAACCAGCCTAAAGAAAATGTTTCCTTCACTGCCTTGATTTTGCAACTGTGTAAGGAAAGCGCAGGTTACCGTTTGCAGGGACTTAAGAGCCAAACAGCCACAGGCTGGGCACCAGGGATATATAGTCTGAGAAGACTAATAAGTTAGTGAGAGGAGGAGACTGAGAAAATGTGGTCTTCTGCATTTAGCAGATTGATGGCATCATGCCAGCCTAGGCAACGTCACTTGGTAGGGAAAGATTTTAAAAAGAAAATCTATGGCAATGACCTGTGTGCCCCATATCCATTAAAGTGTTTATATTTTCATAATTTATACAATTGTGTTCCTGTAATGGCAAAGTGGTATTAAACCCAAAAGCAAAAAACATTAGTTATACTGCAGCTTACCATTTATTAGATTTGAATTCTTCTATTTTCATCTAGTGATCTAGCCTGTAAGTGTTATTTTTCAAAAGAACAAGCTTTCCAGTAGATTGTACTAGTTACAAAGATGAGACAAACCATTTACATTTTAGAATATGTGCTTTTGCTCAGAAAAGTATTGGACTTGTTTCTCCTAAGGTAGCCTGGCTTCTGGTGTCCCCCTGATGGTTTATGTAGGCTACTTCTGTGCCATTGCTTGACTGCATGATCCTGCAGAAGGGAAGTCCAGTGTTGTAGAGACAAATCTGATGGCTCTCAGTACAAGGGGATAAGGTTAGTCAGGTCAGTCTGGACAGTCAGGGAGTTGTAAACTCCACTGTATAGCTAGGAACTGTCACCATCTTCCAAGGCATATGAGCAGGTCTTGTAATAGCAGAGAAATTTAGCTGCGGGTACAGAAACAGACGTGATGCCCACACCTGTAACCAGTCTGCACAGTGTGAACCGGAGCCAAGTGTCCAGAGGTGTCTGAATAATCAGAAAAAAGCACGACCCACTGGATCATTTTTACTGCTTGGTAACCTGCTGCTGAGAGTGTATGGTTGTTCACCTTGCGAGCAGTAACCCATCATAGCCAACCAATACTTCCTCTGCTGACATCAGCCCAGCGACAGGTAGATTGGGAATGATTGTTATGGGAAACAGCACTAAAGAATAATAACGCTATTAAAAACAGCAGTTTATGTTATTAATATTGCAATAGCATTGTCTATTAGTAGAAATACCTTCACTGCTGCTAGCGGTGTCCATTTCTGCTGCATTTGAAGTACCAGTAAACATTTGATCAGTCACAATCTCAGGGGGGCTTGGTATCTGCAGGTGAGTAGAACCAGTTGAGCTCTGCGACAAAGTGGTCATAAAACGATCCTCTGAAAAAATATAATAAAAATGAAGCATAAAAATAAAACTAAAAAGGGAATGTAAAGTATTTTTCAATGTATATTCTCTGCAATGTACAAAAGTGAAAAGGAAGATTACACACTACACAACTCAGGTCAGGCACACTTTTCTCCTTATGTCCTAGCACAGACAGAAGGGCCTGGTTTATTTAAAGTCCGCCAACAAAAAAGCAAGCAGTGCTGAGCCTCTGAACGTCCACCATGCTTTTCTCACTGAATGTTATGAAAGCACAAATGTAGTCAATGTTTATTTGTAAAATGACATTTTTGTACAAGAAGAAAAACAAAATATATTTAAAAAGTTGAAAATATGTAAACAAACTGTAAACTAAATATACAATATGTAAATACTGTACACTCAAGAGTGTAGATCTTACCATTATTAGTAGAACATTGCAATGATATAACATTTACGCATAGCAGGATCACTTGAATAAGGAGTTTATTGTAATAAAGCTTAAGAAATAGCAAAAGTATTTTTAATCTTGGTGCTCAAGAAGACAGCAAGTTATTTCAGAATACTGGCAGCCTAGTAACTAGCTTTCCTTTCTGGCCATTTTACAATACGATGTCAAGTTACAGTAGGAACGGACTAAAAGAATAAAGCAGTTCTACAACACAATGCACACACAGAAAAAAGGATCATCAATGTGTCATCTTCTCCAAGGGCTTTTGTCAAAAGGTGTTTAAACTCTAGCAGTATAAAAAAAGAAAAAAAAATATGTTTCACACAATTCTGCAGTCGCAATATACATGACAAAAGACTGACCATCAAATTTAATTCCTTCTTGTGTATCTACATTAAAAACAAAAAACTTCCCTGTATTTTGGTATTTGAGTAGTTTCGGTAGTTTCCCCATTACAAGTCCAGGTAACAAAAGGAAATAAGAAAACCATACAAATATGGAATTAGCAATAAGAAACCTGAAAGTGCATTTATTTCTATGTTTCATCTTGTTGGATAGATTTTCCTCAATACTGCTCTAGGAGACACAGCAGGAAGTGAAGGGACTATCTGTACTGCTGTATATTGTCCTGCTATAAAGTCTGACCCGAGCTTGGCTGGTGTTCTCTGTTAACTTGTCTTGACAGCAGCGCCTATAGTGACCATTTCTACTTTTTTTTTTTTTTTTTCTACATTGCAACACTTACCACATTGCTACCTTTACACTATTTAGTAACATTCATATCACCAACTCCTAAAAAGCTAAATAGTATAAAAAAAGATGAAAAGAGAAGTAGCCCTCTTTGTGAAGATGACCATCCAATCTAAGGCCCTGTCCACACTTTGCATATCCAAAACCATGTGATTCTAGATCAAGCTAAAATGCGCAACATATGTTTGGGTGCCATTAATTCTTAATGGAACCCCAAAATGCAGTTAGACCAAGTTTGTGCTGACAATATGCGCAACGCTCCATGCCAGAATATGTGTAGGTGCTTTTTTGGCGCGTTTGTCATGTGTAGGGCAGCCCATTCAAATGCATGGACTATCCTATGTGTGACCTGTGGAGCGCACACAAAAAAAAAAACCCCCAAAAAAACTGAAAAAAAGGGTGAGCAGGAATGCATGTTACTGCTACAGGAAGTATAAAATGGGGCCTTTTCCTTTAGGCAACTATGCAGCTGCTGTGTGTGCTATAATATGTAGTTGTAGTCGACTTCCCATCTGTTGCCAGACCAAAATTGAATCCATTTCCATCATTCAGGATAAAATTTGTAATTTTATCAGTAAATACAAGGTTTCCTCTGATTGGCCAAGGTGGAAATTGTGACACCCACCTCAGCCAGCCAATCACGCCCACCTCAGCCAATCTGTCCTTGTATTCATTGATTAAAATATAAAAGCTACCCCTGAATGGTGGAAATACATTCATGGCAGCTCAATTTAGCTCTGGTAGCAAACATGCTGCTACACACAGCAGCCCCATAATTATGAAAAATTGTTTATTTTGGCCAGTCTGACCCCAAACAAAACTATTTACAATCACAGTAACGAATTTAAGGCTCCATGCACACTAGCTTGGAGCTGGATAAAAATACACTGGTAATAGCATTTTTAGTAGCATTTTATTAGTGTTCGGAAGCATTTAGGAGCTTTAGCATTTTTACAGTACATGTAAGGGGAAAAAAAAAAAAAGCTAGATAAAAAGCTGTTAGGAGTGTGTTAGTTGCGTGTTTTTTTTTTGCTGCAAAAACGCTCCCAAAATCTCTACAAAAACAAATGAAGCTGAAGCTTGAAAAATTACTGGCCTAAAAGTGTGTGCATGGACACATAGGAGAACACTATTTAGATTCTAGAAGCAGAAATAAAAATGCTGATAACAGCCTGTAAATGCAGCTCCATATTCAAACATACATCATAAATGTATTTCTTAAAAGCAAGCAGTGTAAATACCTGAACGTGACCTGGTATCAATCAGCATGTTCCTTTCCCTGTTCAGCAGTGCTGGAATGTGGGAATGTGAAAGGAAGTAACAGCAGCAGAAGCCAATTAATATTCTGAGAAGAAGCATACGGATAGGAGCAGAAATCAGACAGAAGATCTCATCACTGTGCTGCCTCTGCTTTTAGGCTAGGTTCACATCTATGCAGTTTGCGTTTGATCCGTTTCTGCAGTGCGTTTTTCCACATGCATTTGTGACACGTTTTGTGGTTTTTTACTTGCTAGGCAGATTAAAAATGCATCAAAAACTCACTACATGCTTTTCTGCAGTGTCTCCATTAAAGTCTGTAGAACCAAAAACGCAACTTGTGTTTAAAAAAGTCCCTGACCCTTTCCAAAAAACACACTGGGTGAAAACGCGGAGATGCGAACCTGTCTCATGGGAAATCATTAAATGGATTGCTGTGCATTTCCGCAAAGGAAAACTCACAGGTGTGAACCTAAACTTACTGTCTAATTGCAGGCTGGGGAGGGTCTAGGAGAGTCTGGGCTCAGAGGAAGTGGGCTGAATGTTGGTGGCCTGAGGTCTTGTGGTGGGAAAGTGGTACTGTGGGGGAAGCTCTCTGAATTGAAAGTAAATGTTAAACCAAAGCTGCATTTTTATTACATTGCTTAAACAAACTATTCATTTTTATTTTTTTTCCCTCTGGCTGCAGTTCTGCTTAAAACCATGTTATTTTAATTAGATAGGTTGCACCCTATATTTGTTACTTTACCATTTTTCTATTGTGCACAATACGATAAAATAATTACCCAGCATTCAAAGCTATCAGCAAGAAGACCTTTTAAATTTGTTTTTAATTAAACCAACATCTATGTTGCACACATTTGCATATTTCATATGCAAGCCACATATTGTGCAGTCTTGCTCTACTCAACACAGACACATGAACAGAAGCCTGTTAAAAATTGTATAAAATGGCAGAATCCAATTTATATCAGGGATATCAATTGTACCATCATAGCAGGATCACTAGGAATTATTTTAAAGAAAGCTGCAAATTACAAATATTGAAAATTACTTTGGAAAATACTTAATGTTAGTCTCCATGCACACTAGCATTTTTAAGCTCACAAAACACTGGTAATAGCGGGGAGTTTTTCATTTTCAGTAGCATTCAGAAGTGTTTGTGAATGTTAGCGTTACATTAGCATTTTTACAGTACAATATGGAGAAAAAAAAAAAGCTGTTAGGAGCGTTTTGCATTTTTTCTGCACGAAAAACACTCCAAAAATTTCTCTTTTGCTGCTAGACGCTAAAGCTCAAAAAATGCTAATGTAGCCTAACGTAGTACGCATAGAAACTAATTAGCTTCTAGGAGCAGAAAAAAAAATGCTGATAATGGCTTCTAGGAGCTTTAAAAAAACTGCTATGCTACATGAAGCCTTAAAGCTTATATGAGATTTCAGTGATCATTTTACAGTGGGATTTGCAACTGTATTACAAAACAGCTTTTTGGACTATTGTAGCCTGAAGGTCATACGTTATTTTTTTTTCTCTGCATCCAAAATTCAAATATAGTAAAAGCTAAAAAGACATCCTTATCTTGCAATTTACAATGTTGCTTCTTTAGGCACGAGTTCTCTGCTGCATGTGAAAACGTGTAACCTAGTTTGCTTGCGCTATTACTTGCTCCATTACTGAAAATCAAGTATCAGTAATGGACATAGTTGACCCATTGATTTATTGTAATTTTCCTGTGCTTTTAACTGTATTAAAGCATTTCTCAACATTGTGCATTGCCTTCAACATGAATATATCCTTTTCACAATGGAACTAGACATTATCCGAGATAATATCTGACCGGTAGGGCAGGCTATAAATTTACAGGTTACATAGGATATGTCACTGATTTACAGTGTTCAGAACACAGGGCTTAAAACGCTGCTGATTCAGTAACTGAGCCAGGCGATTTTTTAATTTTTATTTTTTTTTAACAGAATAAGCCTTGTTCTAATCCTCCCACTTTACCACTTAAAATAAATTAATACACTTCAGGATAGTATTCATTCTGGGGGTAACAGCAACAAAATATACTAGAAAAAAAAAAAAACCAAACTTTTAAAATCAGTAAACATAAGAAAAACGCACCAATTAGTTCCTCGCTCAGGACAATGCGTATATATCAAAGTTTAATGGAGATTTTTTTTCTTTCATAAGAGTAGGGAGGTATCAGAATCTGTCAGTTGTCTCTGTTAAGAGTATTTCCTCCACTTATTGTGGGCATAACCACTGTCAATGAGACAGAAAATTGGGGAAATCTCCCCACGAGGACACAGACTGCACTAAAACCTTGACACAGTTTTAAATGCCACTCATTCTTCTAATGCTATATCTGTATTCAAGAGATTTAATCCGACTTCCTACCTCAGTGACCACTGTCACCAGAAATTGCCTAAACATCAGCAATTCCCCAAAAAGTGTTAGCTGGAGTTCCACTTTAACCACATCTCTGAGAAGACTACTGCTGTTGCTTCGATCAGAAGACAGAAATACTACTTACTGTAGCAAAAGTTGAAAATA